ACTATCTGCTGGCCAATGGCTCACGAGTGCAGGTAGAGTTCCAGATCTTTAGACTCAACAGCCTACTTGACAGCTAGCTCCACTTATTTCAAAGGTGCATAAAAGTTTGCATGACAGGTCTTAAAAGCTATTAAGCAGCCATCTAAAATAAGCTAATGGTCTCCTATCATCAGAAGCGAAGAAGAGTGCAAAAAACCAAGGGCATTTGAAAACAATCAGCTCTAGGACACAACAGACCTCAAGACCAGAAGAACTAGATTGTTCCCAGCTACCAATCTCAACCACTCAGGAAGGGATCAAAACTAGAGATCCTGGATAGAGTGGGAGGGAAAACATGGAACAAAATCCAAAAACATAATAATGACTAGAATTACTGGTCGGATGGTGGGACCCCCAAGACTATGGCCCTGGGATACACTTCAGGCCAGGGATAAAACTCACTCTGAAGGGATGGCTCCCAGCCCAATAGGAACTAAGACTTACATGTAGAACACTCAACCCAGGGCAATGCACCCACCTACTCTACGGTGATACATCCCTTGGAGCAATCAGTCATAGGGAACCAGAGGGGCAACATTCACACGGAGGTAAAGCTGGACAGACAGGAGTTCATAACTAAGAAGGGCACAGGGTGGGGGGGTGGTTACTGGGAAGGGAGAGGAGGAGAGTGGGTCAGAGCTAGGAATGGTAATTGGGGAGTGAAATGCAATGTACACAAAATGTTGAATGTAAAACAAATTCTGCTCTGTAAATTTGCACCTAACGCACAATAAAAAAAAGAAAATCAATCAAGTATCACATCATCCAATTTAAAAAAAAAAGTTTGCATGACAAAACTGAGCTGAACTTATAATTTTTCTGCCAAACCTGGTTAACTTCTGGCACTCCCCTCCATTGTATGGCATCTCCATCTATCCAAGTGCATAAGGGCAAAAACTATCATTCTTGAGACATCATATCTCATGTAGAACCCATCATTAAACCCTGTTGACTTTCTCCACTAAATCTCTCTCAAATTCATCCACTTTCCTTCATCTCTACCTCTATCACCCTAATCAAGTTTCCCTCTTCTCTTACCTGAATAACTGCAACAGTGGTCTCCTACTTGCTTTCTAGACTGCATACTCCACTCTGCAGCCAGAGTGAACCTTTTCAATAAAAATATGTTCCTATCACTCCCCTGATTAAGAACTCTATTCTTTTCCATTCCATATAATGACTTCTTATCATGGTCTACTTGAATGAGCTCTCCCTTGGCCTACATCTATCTCAGACTTATGTCACTCTCTGGTAGTCTGCTGTCCCATTACACTGCCCTCTTCCAGTTCCTTAAATGTGCTATATCCAGGATTTTGGCACATGTCATTTTCTCCACTATTCTCCCAAGAATAGCTAAAATGTCACATCACAAAAAAGCATTCTCTTATCTCTCCAGATGAGCTCAGATTCTCCTGCTAAATGCCTCAAAAGCCTCCTCCCCTTGTACCACTTAAAGTTTCCTAACTCACTGTATAACTTAATATTTTATGTTTTTCTCTCACTAAAATGTAAACTTTACTAGAGCAGGTACCATGCCTGCTTATTTGTCATTGTATTCTCCAGGATCAAGAATAACAGATGCTCTGTAAGCAAGGGGAGCTCTGGTAGCATAGTGCCAAAAGCACTTGCCTGCTAACCAGAAGGCTGGTGGTTCAAACCCACCAGCCACTCCTCGGAAGGAAGGTTGGCCAATCTACTTCCACAGTGATACCACCTTGGAAACCCAAGGAGGGGTCACTATAAGTCAGGTGCGACTTGACAGCACATAACAACAACAACAGCTGTTAGCAAGAGTAGGAAAAGGTGCATTCTGAATTACCAATCTGGAGAATCACAATGCATATATACAGATAACTATTTAACTTTGTTTAAGCATTATTTTCCAAAATTACACAACTATGGAACTTTCTACTACATAAGTTATTGGCATTTTGTTGGACACCTGTGTTCCAAGAAGCACTGAGTTGCCTGCTTACACTACTTCCACTCCACACTTAGAAGCATATCTCTGTAGCCATGTTTTTACAACTCTGTCTTTCCCTAGCCACTAAGAGTGGTAGACTTGCCTTTCTGGGAAGTCATCATGGGCTTTGTCCAAGGAAAAAAGAGGAAGCTGTCTGTAGAGAATGAAGCAGTCACAAAAACAGAAACTTTAAGCAAGCCTCCCATACTCAGATGGAGTCAGGCAGGACAACGGGTATGAGGTGAATTAAAGAAACATGCCCTTTCTGATGGAATTCAAACTCAGAATTATTTAAACTAGTGATTTTAAGAGTGTGACAACCACCCCCCACACACACACACAGCATCACATGGGAAGTTATTAAAGACATTAGAAACTCTAGGGCAGACCTCAACAATTTTGATGCACACTTCAAACACTGCTGGCCAAACATAAACACCTGAGAACCATCTAATCCATAGGCTGACAGCTGTTCACCTCTAATGAAAGCAAAGGAAATAGAAAGTAGCAATCCTGATTTTCGATGACTTTCCAAATCCCAATTCCAATATCTCATGATTCCTAATTACCCAAATCCTAGAGCTATTCTTGCATGCTTTCATTAAATTCCCCCTTTTACTTTAGCTGGTTTGGTGGGGTTTTGTTGCTTAAATCCAAGTGATGATTGAGATACATCAATATAATGAAGAGAAATCAAGATGATTTCTAGCCCTAGTTCTACCAAACATGAGCTGTGAGGCCTCAGATAAGCCCCTTTTCTCTGGGCAACAATTCCATCACCTACAAAATGATGTGGCTGGACTGGAGTGCTTGTCATACTCTAGTATGACAGCCTAAAGCATTGGTTTTCCTGAATAATCTCTTGGTATTACAGATCCCCTAAGGAGATCCCTAAGTTTCTTTAGTTCTGACTTCAGGCAAAAAAAAAAAAAGAAAAAAACTCACTGCCATTGAGCCGATCCTGACTCACAGCGACCCCCACTGGGTTTCTGAAGCGGTAAATCATTATGGAAGTCAATTGCCCAGTCTTCTTTCCATAGAGTGGCTGGTGGATTTGAACTGCCAACCTTCTGGTTAGCAGTCAAATGCCTGAGAGCTCCTCAGGTAGGTAAGTAACAAAAAATGGGATGGCAGCTAGGGGGACAAGGCAGACACCTCTCTATTCCTCTTTCACTGTATTTCAAAAGTACTATGGAGGGATGCTTTAAATAATAAGACTTATTTGGTATTCCAATTCTTTTTCAACTTAAAGTTAGATTTTAGCATATTATAATTGGGCTAACTTTAGTTAGAGCTGCTGCCTGTGATGAAATGTACACAGAAATACATGTGCATAAGGACTAAATTATGTTGCAAGAAAATAAGATTATTTTGTCATTTTTTTCTTCACAAAAACGTACTTCATCCAAATAATCAATATTAGATGAAATGGCAAAGCATTCTCAGGATTTAAAAAAAGTAAAAAGGTTTAAGGAAAACAGCCTAAAATAAACAGCAAGAATATCCCCTATTAAGCCCATAAACATTCATTATATAACTTCTTTGTTAGCAAAGAATAAAACTAGTATTGTTTTGACTCTTAATTTCTCACCCCAGCGAACTGTTCTGTGATGTTGAAATGAAAATACTAACCAAAGGCTTTGAAGGACAACTCATTACAATGAGAACTGAAGGCTTCTGAAACAAGAAAAAGATTTTCCTCCCTCCCAGAACCTAGGACAAGTGAGGAAAATATTTCAGTCCCCCACCCAAAAATAAAATCAATATCTACATTTTTTAAAAAAAGAAAGAAGTGCTTTAAAAATTACTGGATTCAAGGTACAAATTTAAAAAAAAAAAAAAAAAGCAGAAAATGTTCCCAAGGCAAAGGGAGGAAAAAAAACCTTATTGAAAGAAAATAAAAAGAAACAAGGGAGAAGAAATCTTTCAACAGAGTAGAAACTGTTAGTCTCTCTCTGTGTCCTTGAAAGGTTTTGATCCAACCCTATTTGTTATCCTAGAAAGGCTCTTCTGAAGAAAGGTTTCAGTGTAAGAACTGCTTGAAAGAAGCCAAACCCTTGAAAATAGGAATGGCTCAGCCATTTATTAATGTCAAATATGCTGCCTGCATGAATTAGTCAGCTTGTCACTTTAGAAGCCATATAGAAAAGTTCGTGTGCACCTGCTTCTAGTGTCCTGACATTTCTGTATTTAATGACAGCAGTAACAACTACTAAAAAAAAAATAATTTAAAAAAAAGCTGAACCACATTCTGCCTCCTAAATAGCTGATGTGTCATTTTTTAAGAGTTTCTTGCTGAAGTAGCATCAACAGTGACCATGGTACACAAAAGTTTGCTCAGATGTAAAGTGAAAGGCAAAACTCATTTTCCTAAACTGGCAGCATTTAACCAAATTATCACAAAACTGACCCCAGAAACAAAGAGAAATAGAGCAGAAAAAGGCCAGATTTCTCCCTGGCAGCATCACAGTGGCAAATATCCCAGAACCAAGAAAAGCTGCCAAGTGGGAGAGAGGAAATTAGAGACCTTTCCAAAAACAGCCAAGCAGTATACACAGCATCCCCAACAGCTGGAGCGAGCTTTAAAAGCAACACACAGGTATAAGGTCCAGCCTTATTCTTTATTTACAGCACAGTTCAAAGTCAATAAATCAAGTACAAAAGAAATGGCTACCATTTCCTGGATTGGCATCAGACATTCTACCAGCTGCAATTACATCATTTTTATCCATCTTCTCCTTTTCCTTTTTTGGAGGTAGGGGTGGGGAGTGACAAATGGGCCCAAGGGGAATTCACTGCTTGCAGAAAAACAAAGGAATTGAATCCCTCTTGTCAAAGGCAGTTGGAACTCTGCTCCAGTTATGAAGGCTCCTAATGTGTGTGAGCTGTCACGAAGATTCTTCCCGGAGGTGATGCAAAGATGGGAAGGACCTGGGAAATCAGACTCATTGGGAGGCTGCTCTCATCACCATCACCCTTTCTTCTATCTCAACCTTTCCCCCAACAAATCTAATGATAAAAGAGGGAGAAAATTACTTGTAGAAAAACCAAAAGTGAATAGGAATGTGGGTGGAGTAAAAAGAAGATCAAAAGTTGTTCAGTACTGCTTTTCCTTGATGGGCATGAAAATCTCTGATCCACTGCTTCATGTATCTAACTTCTAAGGAGCGGGCTAACAGCACAGTTTTGGGATCTAAGGCATTGCTGGCTCGGAGATCTAAATGGTGGGCACCATCGGGGATGTTGATCCCAACCAAAGTATCCGTGACATTCTTGGTTACTCCGCCTCCAGACCATGGGTCTAGTTCACCATTGCTGCAAGAGAAGGGGGGTGGGGAGAGACAGGTTGTTAAGTGTTACATATCTACAGTCAGATAAGATAGGACAAGCCTATTATATGTACAATACCTACAATTATAATCTTTTAGCCTGGGGAGTTTGATTTGAGAATCAAATCTGTGGCATAAAAAGGTGTTTCATATTGGAGTTTGACAGTATTTCTGCATCCAGGTGCAAGAAATAAAACCAGAGAATCAACCTACGGTTTGTACTGGGATTTTGAATTCAGAAGCCTGTTTTCCATACCCAATTTCATCACTCAATAGTTACATGGCTTTAGGCAAATTATCTAACTCAGTTTCCTCATCTATAAAATAGAGATAAAGATCAAACCAGTGGTGCATGTGGACGTATTTAATAAACACAAGTGCCAGCTACATAGGAATCCCTCAATTAATGCTGGTTTCCTTCTTTCCCAGGACCCAACCACTAAAGTGGTCAAAAATTTAAAAAAAAAAAAAAAAAAAACACATTTAAAAGTGCTAATTAGCTCTTAGCTCTTAAAAAAGAAACCTGAAGTCACCTTTAAACCAAGTAACAGTTTAGCCCAAAGAATAAAGATTGTCATCCTTGTGTAGTTAAAAAAATATATATACATTCATATGTTCACACACACACACACACACACACACACACACACACGGACTCTGGTGGTGCAATGCCTAAGGCACTTGACTGCTAACCAGAAGGCTGGCGGTTCAAATCCCCAGCCACTCCTTGGAAGGAAGATTGGGCAATCTACTTCTGTAGTGATACTGCCTCAGAAACCCAAGGAGTGGTCACTATGAGTCAGATCCAACTCGACAGCAGTGAGTTTGGTTTTTTGGTTTATACGCACACACACACACACACACACAACCAAAGAATCAACAGCTAATTTATTTATTTATTTTTATTGTGATTTGGGTGAAAGTTTACAGAGCAAATTCATTTTCCATTCAGCATTTCATACACATTTTGTTTCATGACATTGACTGCAATTCCTCATGATGTAACAGCTCTCTTCTCACTTCCTCCTGGGAGTTACCTCTTCCCTGTGTCCTTCCCTCCCATGCACTTCAGCCTGCCCCTCAGCTGTCTACCTGTGCTAACACTGCCCTTCTGTTCTCCCATGACTGATCGCTCCACAAAGTATATCTACCTGAGGCAAATGTTCACCCCACATGCCTGTCTATTGTTAGGCTGGAAGCCTAACAGGAATGAGTTCAGTTCCAGACCTGAGGGTAACTAGGGGCCATAGTGCCAGAAGTCTCACTAGGCTCTATCAGACCAGCAATCCTGGTTCAACAGCTATTTTAAAGCAGATGAGAAAGTTGGGGAGGGGCATGGATATTAAGTTAGTGAAAGAGAAATAGAACAAAAATAAGGAGAGAATATTGACACAACATGAAGAATGTAACCAATGTCACTAATCATTATGTCTAGAAAATGTGCAATAGGAGAGGGTTTTGCTGTGTATATTTCCACCAAAAATAAAATAAAATTAAAGATTTAATCATATCTATACTGTTCAGAACTTTGTAATTAAAAAAACCCTGCAGTTTGCTTTAAAATACTTCCCTCTCAGTATAGCACTTTGAGAAACAGGGTGGTAGAATTGTGGGCTGGGGTGGGGTGGAGGGAACCCTCATACATCTGGAATCAGAAAATTTTGGCATTACTCAAAGATCCTCATTTTACACTAGCTTTAAAGTTAAGAAAATGCTAGGAGGTTGTTATTTGTCTAGGTTGGTTAATATAATACATTTCAGAATGATGTAAACAGAAACGGTCATTGAAACAGGTTGTTCAGCTGAGTAAAAAAGGGATAAAACCACAGACAGAATTCCTAATATTATTTTTAACAGCTTTATTGAGATATAATTCACCTACCATAAATTTACCATTTAATGTATACAATTCAATGATTTTTATTCACAGAGTTGCAACCTTCACTACAATCAATTTTAGAACATTTCATCATTCCCTAAAGAAACCCCAAATAGTCTTAAAAGCTTTCAAGCGGCCATCCAAGATGCAGCTAATGGTCTCCTATTGTCGGAAATGAAGAAGAGTGCAAAAAACCAAGGGCATTTGGAAGCAATCAGCCCTAGGACATGATGGACTTCGAGACCAGAAGAACTAGATGGTGCCTGGCTACCAATGCCAACCACTAGTGAAAGGATCAAACTATCAGATACTGGATAGAGTGAGAGGAAAAACGTGGGAACAAAATCCAAAAACACAATAATGACCAGAATTTCTGGTTGGATGCAATTGGTGGGACCCCTACTACTATGGTCCTGGGATACACTTCGGGCCTGGAATAAATTTCATTCCCAGGAGCTGGCTCTCGGCCCAACAGTAAACAAGATATAAATGCAGACCGTCAACCCAGGGTGACACACTCACATACTCTATGGAGATGCATCCCTTGGAGCAAGTGACCACAGGGCACCAGCAGGGCGACAATCACATGGAGGAAATGCAGGACACACAGGAGCGCATAACTATGAGGGGTGTGGGGGGGGAAGGAAGGGGAGGGGAGTGGGTTAGGGTTGGGGATGGTAACTGCGGAGTAGAACCAAATGTTGAATGTAAAACAAACTCTACTCTGTAAATTTGCATCTAAAGCACAAAAAAAAAAAAAAAGAAAGAAAGAAATCCCATAAAATCAGAAGTCACTCCCCATTCCACCCCACCGGACACTGCCCCCTCACAGCCTCAGGCAACCACTACAAATGTCTTTATAAAGACATTTCATATAAATTAAATTACATAATATATGTTCTTTTGTGACTTAGCATAATGTTTTCAGGATTCATCCATGTTATAGTATGTATCAGTACTTCATTCCCTTTTATTGTCAAATATTCCATTGTATAAGCCTCAGTTTTAGGATAAAAACACCTAGAATCAGGCTTGGTATTTGGTACAAGCCAACGAATATTACTGAATGAATGAAAAAAGGATATAAATGTAGTCTGTGGTCTTAAACTGGGTGCTGTACAAAGAGATCTACAAATATTTATGTATGTAAATCCACAGACATAGTGTAACTCATTTCAGTCCTTTCTACACAGAAACACAGATTTGATACAAAGGATTAATACAAATATACACCAAGTGACCTCCAGCTGTGTGGAAAACTGGAAAGAACGATAAACTAAGTCAGTAGATCTATGTTTTACATCCCTTCTTGCTGCATGAATTTTGTTAAGTCACTCAACCTCTGTGAACCTCAATTCCAACATGTACTACAAAAAATAAATAAGTATAATGCCCTTCCTTCACAGTGATGTTGTGAGATCCACATTAAGTAATATAGGTAGAAATGAGGTTATAAACTAGAAAAACTACACAAATGTGAAGCATTATTAAAATTATTATTATCCTATTTTATAAACATGAGAAATGTTAAAGAGATAAATGAATCATAAAAATAGATGTGAAAGCAATTCTCATAAAAATTTAGTTAGAAAACAGATACAATCAACTTTGTCTAGGCAAAATTACAAGTTACATGAGAAAATAAACATTAGGCATGTTAAGTATATATGTGTTTAAAATACAATTTTAAATCTCCTGTTCCATTATCACCAATCTTTGTTTTAAAAAAAAATTAACTCAATTGCAACTTAATAACATCATTCTTGGAAAAAAAAAATAATAATCACTCCAAAAAAATCACTCTTTTTGTTAAGAACAAAAGGAAAAACGCCAATGTAAAACAAGAACCTTAGTTTTCAACTGCAAGATAAATTTTTAAAGTAAACTACACATGGGATTCGATTCTCTTAAGGGAACAAATAGCCTTTATCATTATTCCAATTTGACAGGCCCAGCCCAGATAGGAAACTCTCCATTATTTGCAAAACAAAAAAGCCATCCCAACAGCCACATAATAAGTAAACTGCATTTGATTTAAAAGGTCATCTGAATCAGCCTAGTGGCTTAGCAACAGTGTTTGGAGTTGCTGAGAGACCTAAAATGCACATGGACTTGAATTTCTCAGTCTTACACATGTGAAAGCTAAACCAGTCTTTGGGAAATCTTAAAAAGAAAAAAAAAAAAAAAAAAAAAAATCCACTTGCTTTCATGAAAGAATTTAGATGCCTGGGTAAAATTCCCCACGGTGAGTTCCACATAATTGCTGGCAATAATTTATTCCCCTGAAAAATTATGTTAAATTAACCACTCCTCAGTGATCCTTTTTTTGGATTTATGTTTAAATAACTGAGAATGACCACTGGTATGGTAATTTCTTACACTGTGGAATAAAAAAAAAAAAAACCGCTGAAATATAGCTACTAATAGTTACTATTTTTTAACCTCTCATTCACTCAACAAATATTTAAGATGCCTACTGTGTGCCAGGTACTGTTTGAGCACAGGGGATTCAACAGTGAACAAAGCAGACAAAATCCCTGTCCTCCTGGTGCTTTACTTCCATGATAATCTATTCACTCCTAGAAATAACCCTGTTAGGTAGTTATTATTTCCAACTGATGTAAGTTGGCAATTTACCCAAAGCCATGCAGCTGGATTCGTGAAGAATCAGAAGTGCACCCTGGGCCCCAACGTGGCAAATCTCCAATTCAACAATTTCAGACTGGACTTCCCAATCAGAAAGGAAGCCACTCTTGATTTGTGAGGTGACTTTAGGAGAGAAATCTGAATATGAAGATACTTTCCACATGATTCCCTGGACATTTTCTTATTCATCAGTTGTTGTTGTTGTTGTTATGTGCCGTCGAGTCAGCCCTGACTCATAGCGACCCCTCCTTGGGTTTCCGAGGCAGTATCACTACGGAAGTAGGATTGCCCAACCTTCCTTCCAAGGAGTGGCTGGTGGGTTTGAACCGACAGCCTTCTGGTGAGCAGGCAAGTGTCTTAGCCACTATGCTACCAGAGCTCCTTATCAGTTAGAGATGCTTTTTTTTGCAACTGGTAGCCACTAAATGCATATAACATGCAGGGCTGCTCTAGTACTTTGG